GGTAATAGGTTCTCACATAGCTAGGGAAATATTTACATTCTACAATTAACCCTAGCATTCTAGCCCAAAGATAGTTTGCATTAAATGCTAACTATGAAACATCGCTTATACCTACATAGGCACATCGTGGTAAAAACCTAAAAGATTCTTCTTTCTATATTTGCGTCAATAGCACTTGCTCGTACGGTAAAGCGAAACTAGCATGTTTCAGAATCAAAAAATGAAGAAATCTACAGTGTCTGAAGATAAGATCCGTTAAGGGCTGATGCTTCACTGTACACTATTAGTGTTAGTGAATTATATTTAAACAAGGCTAGGTCGAATAATTTCTTTTCGGAACTGACAACACTAATATTTCAATTTCACGTAGCTTTATTTTATTCACCCACATCACAAGCATTCGCAATACCGGCGAACGAAATCAAATGAATTTCGCCTCGAGTGTAAAAATCAAATTCAGCCGTGAGATTTTTGACCCATGCCCCATAACACTCGAACAATCGAATTGTTTTGCAATGACTCGTTTTTCAATTCGCTACCCGTTCGAGTTCAATTATTGGAGTAATTGATAATCGAATGTTAACATATGAATCATCACCGTGGCTCAGATTGTAGCTGCAGGTATTGCAAGGTATTTTAGAGGTGCCTTTTCTAAGGCTGTATTGGTTACAATTTCGATACTTATTTTAAACTTCAGAAGAAAATACATTTTACGATAATAACATGCGTTTAAGTTTAACCCATTTTAAAGTTTTGTTAACCTATAATAATAACATAGTTATTATACAAATACTTAATTGTAAGTCTGGTAAATTAACCCATTTAATCTGGAATATCTTTTTATGAAAATAAAATTTTACCAATCTTTTACCATAATTCTACTGGGATTCGTATTTCATATCTACAATTGATACCAAGTATTAAAAACCAGTCTATAGGAGATATGAATAGTTCAAGTGTCATAGACAGACGCTCAGAATGGTCTAGATATTAATTGGGATGAAACTCTGGGCAACTGGGATATGAAAGTGATAGCTGATAACCAATACGAACTTGAAAGTCAATTGGAAACTGCACTCGTTATAACTTCGGAAAATCGTATTCGTCTGCGTTTAATATTATCTTTCGAACTCATCACATAAAAGGAATATGATTTTGTACCTATCCATGATAATAGTGGTCCATGATAGTTTAGTAGAGTTTCCATAAATAATATTTATGGGAAATAATCAATGGCAGATAACAGGTAAAAATTACGTTAGCCGAATTGGATTTCAAATCTACAGCGGCCTTACTTAGTATTTTGGCATGACTCTGATAGTCTACAAACTAACACAGACACAGCGCACGCATATCGCTAGCAACTTACAGCTACTCTCAAATACATACGCACACACACCCATTTACATAATCAAACATTCACACATACTTAATATGACTACTTTCACTAAAAAAAAGTTTAAAGTTTTACCACGGAATAATTGTTAACTCGTCACAACACGGGCCCTAGCGATATATACATTTTGTCACAACCATATTTCTGTCATAAATAAAGTTTTTTTTATTATTATAGGTACAATGGTGTGGCGATAGGTAATTACATACTATAGGTTCCCAATGCTTTATAATTAAAAGTATGTACGTTAACTTCAGATATGAATAGGGTCACTCTTGTTAATTAAGTCACAGTGGAAAAGGAATTTAAATAACCCTGAAAAACGTGTTTTAACGCAAGCATGAGATTGCTAGTTGGAAATACTTGCAATCAAAAGAGATATAGAGTCAATATAAATAAAACGGGTTTAATAATAATACAGCATGGAAGACCGTTAATAGATTTTTAGAAGTTCGTCACAATTTGTCACACTTGTACCTACGTTTAATACACTAATAAAATTCTTTATTTCGTCAGGGGAAAGTTAATTAAGTTTCTTTAATTTGGGCCTTTGTAAATAAGGTATATTGATCAATTGTGACGACACTGCCAGGTGTTCTTTATGAGGCTCTCGGAATGAACTCTGAAAATTTTTACGTACCTAGATAATAATTTCCAGGAGTAATAACAACTTTTACGCAAGGTTTTGTTGGATTTGTTTCTTGTTTGCAACAAGACTCGCGGTACTTATTTCTCATATTTTTAAACCAGTAGGTTTACCAACCACCACATCTCCATATATTTGATCTTTGCTCAGAAGTCGTGAATGTATAATTTATATGTGTAATATTTATAATTCAGATAGGTACATATACTTGTACTTGTAGTGAACTATCGTGGAAACAAAATATTGATCGTCATATTGAAGCCATTGGCAACACCTACTCATTCAATAACAACTTAACTTAATACAAAATATAGTTCAAGGTCGTAATTTATACGTATTTATAACTCATCGTGTTTCGGAAATCTGACGGGTTCCTATATATTCCCTCTTAAAACTACGTATGTGATAAATAACATACACAAAATGAAGGATGCTGTCTTAAGTGAATAAACATTATGGTTAAAAGTCTTAAATAAAGTATCGCTATTTAGACTTTCGTCCTGAGCGCATTACGTAAAGATAGACGTACTTTACAATGTGAAGATAACCTTAATCATGTTTTGTAAAGCCAAAATGTTTTTAATTTAATAAACACATTCTTTCTTCTGACCCTTGGATGTTATGTATGGTAAATCTAATAATTACTAAGTACTTTTATTCCCCTTATTTATAAAAACTAAGGCAAGCTTAGTTCTTTAAACAAAGTACTAATCTGTCACTTGATATTACAGAGAAAATTCAATTTGCGACAGATAAATATTAGCAGCAGTGAACAAGTCTACATAATAGACTGTATGATTTATATATACGAGTATTACATTTACATAAAATTATTACATTATATATATAGTTAACGAAAATAACATCCAGTCGCGGTCAGTGTTCTAGTCTTTATTTATTTATACTTTATAACCTTAATCAAATACATACAATAACAAAAATAAAAAAAGCAGGATATAAGAGTCATAAGGCAACGGGCGGCCTTATCGCTATCAAGCGATTTCTTCCAGGCAACCCTTTGTCTTTGTGTTAGCACTGTAAATAGCAAGTGCTCAAAACATTGTCTAAATGAAATGGATATAAACAATTAAACATATATTATATCAACAATATTTTTCCACATTTAGTATGAATAAAGCAAACTATAAAAAAAAAATTAAATAACTGTTAAGACTTTATCTCAATAAAATAATAATCGCATTATTCAGTTATAACTTCGACATTAACAATTAACTTCAATTCGATAACTTTAGTTGCAGAGTTTATCACGCTTAAATGTTAAGTATGAGTTTAAACAGTAGTTAATAGTTGGGAGAGTAAATCTGTGAATTAATGGCTTAACCCCGCAAGAGGACGGTTGTTTAGTTAAATATAGTCATATCTTCTAGCTAATGATAATGCTGACAGGGTTTTAATAATCCCAAATGTTCTTTTAATTGCCGATACCATTTTTTTCTCATTAATCCTATGAATATATTTAAACGGTAATAGTTGCTCTAGGCTGTTTCTGCCCTCTGAGGTATTTTAATGTTTGCAACGAATTTGGGAATGCGATCTTAATTAATAGATAAAGTAACTCAAGCGAAAGGTCTGTCTATATAAGAAAAATCATTTCCCTCCCACCTTTACGCTTTACAAAGCGTAGTGTTAGTGAAAGCTACACACTATACAAAACGCTCAATATTTGGTCGGTTCATTTAGAATATATATTTTATATGGATTTTAATGCAGTAGATAGTATCCAAATGCACAAGAAATTTGCTTATATAGATAATTATAACCAATAGCAGACCAATAATAATGATATAAATAATAGTTTAAAAAAATGGCGCTCTGTGCCATATTTTTCGTCTATCGAGCAACCCATGCTTTTTCACAATAATACCAGTATTTTTTGTTCATTACCATTTTCAGCCTAAATTAGGAATAATTTTTCACTTTTTAGTTTGATGTGCTTTAAAAGCGTGTTTTTTAGTTTTTTTTAACTATTATTTTTTTTTTTTTTTTTTTCGGATTATTGCATTGTCATCGATCTTTGACAGGTGCGCAAATTTTGAATTAAATCTATCTGTTTAAAGTGGGTCAAAATCGAGTCCAAAGGAGTCGGTTACATACATACATACAAACATACAGGTGAAGCTAATATAAAGCGTGTAAAAAATATTAAAGCCAAATCTTTGCGTAAAATTGTGTACGTATAATCATCTCGAGTATCACCAAGTAAAGTACAAATATTTGACTCATTGTCAGATAGACCATGGTTAACCATGGGAATAATCTAATTGGGGATATAATTAATTATAACCCCAATTAGATAGCATTATATAGATTAACGAGCCGAAACTAAAAGCAAATAATACCTAATTCGTAATGACTATTTCGTTTATAACAAAACACATCAATTTGTACCAAATTGCTGTGTAATGTGACTACATATTAAATTCTGCAATTAAAGCGATTTGAGCGGCCAATGCAATTACAATTATTGCGGGAACATTATTTAATTATGCATATTATGTTATATCCATACAATTTGGATAATATGTATGTTCTGATCTTTTAGAAATAATATTAGTAAAAGAGATAGTTTAAAACTATAAATGTTCTAATATTTCCAAAGAGCTATTTAGACAGTTTATAAAAATGAGATGCTGCTTGAATTATAAAGTAAAGTCATTATAATATAAAGGATTTTTTTTTAATTCCGTTAATACATAGACGTCTGCGCATCTTCGTGACTCTGAGACTCTTAAAGATCGATTTATATTATTTCAATATGCATACGAACATGATATTTTTTTTATTGAACATGGGCATACGAACAGGAGTCTCGTCTGATGTTAAGTGATGCCGCCGCCCATTGACAAACAGGCCTTTTAAGAAATGGTACGCTCTTTTCTTGGACCCTGAGTTTTTGACTGTCAGATAATGTGCTTAACAATAAGAATTTCTACTCACTTAGTGCAATATTAGTTTGTTTATTTCTATCAAGTTGGCCTCGTAGCGCTCGTAGTCGCCGTAGCTTCTGCTCTTGAGCCTCAACGCGCTCGCGTAGCCGTCGTAACCGCTCACCCTCTACGGCTACCTGTAAATAATATAAGTTCAATAGAAATGCTGTTTTTTAATTAAATTATAATATTTTTCAAGACCTATATTTTTTAATTTAATCATAAAATAAAATATAAGACAGTCTGGCAAAAAGCGTAACACAAAGGAAAAAATCTATATTAATTTTATTTCAAACGTGGATGCTAAATTTTACCACAATTTTCAATATAACATAAAATAATACCAAATGTAAATTAAAGAATTCTTTTTATAATAACCACAAATTCCATTATCTACAAATGACAGAAAAACTTAATATATTACTTTTATATTCACAAGTAAAAAATTTTAATAAAACCTACTATTAAACATTTAAGGTAATGCATGTTTCCTAGTGTATTAACATACAATAGACTAATAATAAGCATTTTTTATGGCTAAGGCAGAAACAAGAAAAGTGTGTTGGTGTAGTATTTTGTATTTAATATTGGTGAAGATTTATTGCCTAAAAGTATTACGATAAATATCCCATTAGGGTAGGGCTTGGCTTTGAGATTTATTAAGTCCGGATTCTAAATTATTTTCACTTTATCGCTAAACTCCAAATTCCGACATCGAATTAACGAATTAAGATACGCAAATTGTATCTTTATTTATTTGTTATTATACAATTTTTTTTAATGGAACGTTTCCTTGAGTTTGCTGAAGTGAACATTCTAATCTTAGTAATTAATGAGAGCTTAAAGTAGCCTTCTAGTGTTAATATTGCTAAGATATATTATTAAAGTTAATAAAGACTAAGTACTGCATTTTAACATGTTAAATCAGATAAAAGCTAGTCATAATCTGTTGGGCACATCTGCTGTACAGCTGAACTCTGAAGTCTTCTGTAATTATTCAGAAAGGATTTGCATTTTTAATTAAGGAAATGAGATCATAAAGCATAAACATACATAAAATGAAAAAGGTTTATTGGATTATGGCGCGTGTAAAAATGTATTTTACTCATAACACTGATCTTTTTAAAAGGCCTGTTGATCAGTCTTCCATGCCTATTAAACCAAAACAAATGGCTGTAAAGGTCATACAAAAAGTTGTTAAAAGAAATAGGTAATAGTGTTTAATCATCTGGATTATTAATACCATTTACGTAAGTTATCAAATACCACCGACGACAAAATAGTCGGGGCATTATATAGAAAATATTTAAAAAAGCTTAAAATTATTGTTGGGCCAGGAATAGAACCAATGATCTACGTTATACGTCAAGTGCGTTGAGCACTAAGTAACAAATGTATATAAATGGGACTCAGATAGTTATAATTGTTTTTAATCAACGAAGTAGAAATTACTACACACAATTTCAAACAAAAATTCACCGAAGAATACATTGTCACGCTTACACTTTATACAATATTATTGAAAATTCTTTCAGCCGAGAGTTATTCGTTATTTAAAAGATTCTGATATACTTCCGTTACGAAAGAATGAGAAATTACATTTTCCGTTGTGTTTATTAAAAGCAGATCCGATATCTCATATACATTTATCGTATCCCGTGAGATGCCGGCAGGGGTATTAAGGGATTAGGTATTCGTTTAAATACAATAATTAATCCGGCGTATAAACTTAAAGATAATTAATTCAATCAAGTAATTTATTAGTATTAAAACATATATATATAATATATATATATATATATATATACTTAAATTTTAAATTCTCCACTGTGGGAAATGTCGATTAATTCGGAGCAGAAACTTGTTTTTCATTAAAATTACCTTAGTTGTTAGTGCACGTTAATATTAAGTGTTAAACAGTGAGTGAAAAAATAGAACACAAGAACAGAGTGTCTTCCCTTTAATAGAGACTGTAAGTAGTGTTATGGGACACTTCCTTAAGTTAAAAATCCTTTTTGGTAAATAAGGTTAGACTTAAATTACTTATTAGTTAAGTTAGGCTAGATCGTAATGTTCCATGATGTTTTAATCAAGACACATGTATAAATAAAAATTACCTGATGCTGTCGCGCCTCCTGTTGCTTCAGGTATCTCAGCCTCTGCTCTTTGGCACACAGCAGTTGGTGTTGTGTGTCGATCTGTTGCTGCTGGCGAAGTGCCATTGCGCGCAGCTCACCCAGTGTCAACTCCACCCCTTCCCCTAACTGAAATAAATAAAAATAACATTAGCTAAAATTAAAGATATTCTTTTTATATATACACTTTCGTTTAAATATAAGTTTGTATACGAAAACTCATAAGCTCGTTTCTTAATAATACATTTCCCATTTCGTCAGTCTTTGATAGATTTAATAAGAATATGAAGAGAACTCAAAAGAATATAGAGTTTTCAACTTTTCTTCTATTAAATAAATTCAAGCAAATGAACACGGTCGAGCATAAGTTTAAAATTGAGATAAAGTTGAAAGGAAATCTTTTTAATTTGAAACTTGACTAAGTTTAAAACTAAATCCTCTTGTACCTACGGAATATATTCTGAACCAGTGATGTTGTCATAAAAACAATTTTGCATCTAAACCTTAGAAATAGACGTTCAAAACCAATAGACCCAAATAAAGCAAAATACCAATTAATAATACATATAATAAATTTAAATAGCCACGAAATGTTTATATTAATCTTTAAAAAAAAATATCCGATATTATTAACGTATTGTGTATATATATACCGTTACAAGATAAAATAAGGTTTATAGAAATCTAAAAAAATATTACTAAAATCATTTACATAACATTTGATCGCTACAATATTGTCCGTGTGATAGCCTCAGTGCTTTCAGCAAATACCCTAAATATTTAGAGAACTTGTATTGCTAAAGATATTTTATTACAACACAATATTTATTTTTAATAAAGATTACTTTATTTAATTAATTAATTATAAATTATGAAAGTTTTGACACTTGACAATAATTTGTTAAAGCAAAAACTGAAAGAATTGTGCTGACTGAAACGCTATTAAGACCAATTTGTACTCGTAAACAGTTTTGTTTTATGATTCTAAAGCCGAAGTTGGAGCTTTTAATTCAAAACTTTAAACCTCTTTGTTAATATAATACTAGCTTATGTCTTTGTTTTTGAGAACTCCAAGCAGTGTAACTCTGAATAGGCATCACATTTTATTAAATTCTTTAGTCGTAGTCGACTTGAATGAATGTGTAAGAATCATACAAATTGTATAAGACTGAAACGCTTTGTATGTTATTTTGTAAGTGCTTAAAACATTCATATGTTAATATTCAGTGAACAATTTAAAAAACAAAGAAACAAACCTAAAAAAATTAATTGTTTATTTACAATCAAGTATATAGTATTTACAATTTTTTAACCTACAAAGTAATAAAAAAATGTATTTTAAAGTAGCTTAGATTTTTAACGGAAGGAAAACATATTTTACAAGGCAACCGTGGCTGGTGAAGTCTGGTTGGGAAGGCCTTGTCGTATGTCTGGACCAAATTCAGGACGGACTAGAGAAGGGACAAATTAAAAGTACCCATGACCGACCAGCATGCATGGTGTATGTCATGAAAGTGGATTAAGCGGGAGAGGTACACGTCAGGACCGTAGCAAGTCGAGATCCGTGGTTCCAAAGGGATAGGCCCTTCGAAAAAGGCGTGAAAATATAAATAAAAAAAAATATGTATCACAAATATTCGTGCCAATTTAAACAAAGAAAATAATATATTTACAAAATACGAAAATAGGGAAATTTAACTAAGAAAATTCAACACGTTTGGAAAGGTAGAATAAGCTAAAGCAAGTATACTACGGAAGAAAGGAAGAAATTATCTTGTTACCGTCAGTCCAAAGCGCTAACATTTCTACTTGATCTCTTGTTCAGACGCCTTTATTACTATTTGTGCGAACTTCTACATGATACAGTAAGGTCGAATTTATATCAATAATTTTGCAGTAAATCATTCCTTTGCGATCAGCGAGCAGCCTTACATTTTTCACAAACATGGGAGAGTGCGTCTTCAAAAGGTGTTTGTGTAGTGTTTGCGGTGGTGTAGTTAATGCAAATCGGTGTTGCAAGGTGTACGTTAGGAACGGAAATATTAAAAAATTTAATGACTTAAACCAATAAATTGCTTTTTAGGCGTAACTAACTACATTATACACCTCATATAGCTCACGAAAGTTTTGTCTTCAACTGTGTCACTTTAATAACCGTAAGTAAGTTAAATAACCGGAGATAATGTAAATATTAAATGACACACCAATAAGCTTCCGGAAAAAAATCAAGGCCCCGTAAGCTTATTAAAAACCGGATATGATTATGATGAAAGGGTAAGGAATAAGTCAGGTGAATTCCCGTTTTGGTTCGTTATTCTACAAAGCTCGGAATATGAGTGTCTCTGCCGATAGCAGACGGGTAGCCTGCGGTTGGCTTATGTCCACTATTCACGGATTACGCATTGTGAGACGATTTTAGATGGCTCTTACTAGCTTTTCATTTATAAACGTAATAATAATTTTGTTTTGGGGCATTTCATTTGTCAAATCCTTTTTTCATGAACTTCTTAAAATAAATGATATACATAAATTACAACGCGAAGAATGTTTAAGAATTATTTGAAACAAAAAACATATCCGCTTCTAAATAGTCTGTGAGATTATAGAAGCACTTTTAGTTTTATTACGAAGTTAATAACATGTTCCTAATTTGGTATAACGTTTCCTAAAAAGAATCTTCCTATAGTTAATATTAGCAAATAATTTAATACATCTTAAAGCATGCACGTAAAGTACGATCGAAAACAAATTTCCGTTCACATCCCACGCAATTCACGTGTCAAATTATCGAAGATCTCTTTGAAACAAGACACGCGACATTCAATTTGGTAGACTATCGCAATATGCAGCCTTACTTTCAGCTGAAAAGGGTTGCCTGGTTAAATTTATTTTATAATTCCATTTCAAGCTAAAAAGTATCACCTGTGTAAAAATTTCTGAAAATAAAAATGATTTGACAGCTGCACAGCTTCTATTTTAATACACGTTTTTGAAGCCCTCATAGGACAGTATATTCGATAAAAAAACAATGTGTCCACCAGTTCATGTTTAAAAAATAAATCAGTGGCGCTAGAACCTTTTAAGGTCTAGGCCTCAAATGTCTGAATCTGTTTCATGACCATTTTTCAATCTAATAGGCAAGTAGGTGAACAACCACCAGTGCCTGACACACGCCGTCGACGTTTTGGGTCTAAAACATGTCGGTTTCCTAATGACCTTTTTCTTCACCGTTCGAGCGAATGTTAAATGCGAAAGAAAATGCATTGGTGCACAGCCGGGGATCAAACCTACGACCTCAGGGATGAGAGTGACACGCTGAAGTCACTAGGTCACTAAGTCACAGCTGCTGCCAGTTTATGGTTAACCTTTTAAAAAACATTGCTACAAAACACGTTTGGAAATTGGAAAAAAAATGTCAAGTAAGACTTATCTTAAGGAAAATTCAATACAAAGTGATATGCCGACTTCTAAATAGATTCGTTGGCTTCCTTCCGTTTTCACCAAAACCCCACGCCTATCGAAATTTATGTGAACCTTGACACTTGTTGATAGCAGCTGACATATTGCAAATGGAATATTTTATATACAAACCCGATTATGTTATAAAAATAATGAAAATAATAACAACATATGAAATGTACTTCTTTCTTGCTAGTTCTATTACATTCCATACTGTATAGTATCAAATTGATTATACAGAAAAGTCGTTTTTCTTTGTGCTTCAATGTTTTAATAAACATTGAAGCACAAAGAAAAATACGTTACATAAACATCTACGTTAAATAGACAAACATAGAAAAAATTTAAATGAGCGTATGTTCATGTCTATACTGAATCTAAAATATTTTTCTGCCGGAACTAAAAATTGAAACTCTGCTAACAGTATAGCTTTATATAGTTTGTTTTTAAAATGAGTAACTAAAATACGTGGTTTTGTGTCAGTGCAGTTACGAGTAAGCAGGCTTGTCCTTGGCTTACGCGATAACTACACATTTAAAGAAGGTTTTTTATATAAATACAAATTTATTGCATTAATTTACATAACACGAGAGCCTTTCAGCAAAAGTGGTTAGCGAGACTGGCAGGTTAACTTGATGTAATAATTTTGCGTGAAATAAGTTTTATTTATATAAACAGAATATTTTTTATTTAGCGCTAGTAGCACCGCTGGTTCCTGCGAGCCTTTGAGGGGAACATGGACCAAGACCGTCCGTGGCGTCTGACACTTACCATTTTTAATACCCAAGGCGGAAATGACTCTTACGCATCCCCCGTACTTCAGAAAGTACGAGGGTATGTTGGACTGCTATAAATATTGTACGGTAATAGTCTTCACAAATACGTTAAATGTATGGCGGAAATGTTCACGGTCCACTGTAGATGTAAAGTTTACGGAAAGCTTATTCGGCGAAAAGAGAATTAGGTTAACGAGGAAATAATGCAGGCGATACGAAACTAGTGTAAGGTCCCGCAACAGTTCAATTTGACGACATGCTATATATGACGTCAGAAGGTCCATTAGGCTCGTTCATGTATTCTAATAAGTTTAGTTTAGTAAAAAAAATACAATTTCATATATTTCCACTAATTGATCACCTTGGATATCCCATGAAGATCATAATTAGGCTACTTTATATATTTAATAAAATTTTCTGTGGCAAGAACAAGGCGTGTCTAAAGAATCATGTGTTGATATCTTGCCTTCCAAAAAGCAACGTAGTTACTTTTTAATGCAGTTTTAACTCGGTTATATACTTTTTAGAAATTATTTATTATGGATACACATGCATAGCTTTTACCGTAGTGTTTGTACGTGTACTAGTTTTTCATATTTTCTGATCTAATATTAAATACATATTCATCTATAATGGCCTTTTGAAGGCAGTTTTGTGTTCGAACAAATAAGGTAAAATATCGTTTACACTTTAACCTCTTTCAAAACTAGACCATTCAACAGCATGGTCTCGTTCAGGCCAAGGTCTGCAAACGACTGATAAAATATTCACACTACTTAGGTATTCGGCCTAAATCCTAGACTGTAAAGGTCACTCATTATAGCGACACGCACCACTAGACTCCCTTACGGGCTGTTAAACACCTACTTTGACTAAAACGTAGGTTATTCAACCATTCGGCTCACCACTGCTTACATGTGAATTAGGGAATGCAATCCCGATCCCGCGGGATTCTGATCTCGCGAGATCCCGTGTCATTTTTCGGGATCAATCCCGAAGCATAATATGACGAGATCCCGTTCGAGATTGACGGGATTGGGAGATACTGATTTAGTTAGTGCAGAACATACGTTGCGTTTCGTTATTCGAAAGCTAGAAGACCTAGAAACTACTCTCTCAGAAAAATTGGTCCCTTCAATAAAAAATCTAAAAAATCCGAATAATTTTCAAGATGATTTGGAGCAATGGAAAGGCAATGAGACTTTCCAATTGCCAAGCAAATATCTAAATAGAAGAAATCAAAAAATATAATCACACTATTATAGAGATTAATAGAGAGTAGTAGGAACAAGTAGAAATTAATACATAGTATTAAACGAAGATCACTTGCCACTTTCTATGATTGCAGAGAATTTAAATATGTATAAATTCTACTGCTACACAAACTAATACATCACTTCAAGAGGAATTAGAAGAAACTCTCCGAAACGCTAGCTTAGACAAATTAGAGTCAGTAATACAAAAATAAATGGATTTTTTGAGTGTGGAGGAACAAGGGGGCGATTTTTTCAGTTTATATAATATAATTGCTTATTCACGCTGTTGCCAACCAGTGTTGAGTTGGAGAAAGCATTCTCAGCAGCTGGGTACATCGCAACGAACATTAGATGCCGGTTATCAGATAGCACTCTTGATACACTTTTTTTAAACAAGTTACTTTCAAAATGTACTACTTTTTAATATCCATAAATAATATCTTCTTTTGTTTTGATTATGTTAAGTTCGTAAAACTGTTAATTATTAAGTTAGTACTAAAGGCCTTTGTTTTCTTTCAAATAATATTTTGTTTTAATTAACCTCATTATGAGAAAAAAGCATTTTTCATCATATTCAATCATGTGAAATTCACATTTTTTTAAACATGACGAGATCTCGAAAATCTCGGGATCCCGCTGGATTGATATTTCTAAATCCGCGGGATCTCGAATTTACGATCTCGAGTCGGGATTGCATTCCCTAATGTGAATAATGGGGATAACTATATAACTACTTACGAGTTCGTAGCTATTTAATAAGTTCTACACGAAGCAGACATTTGCAACTTTGGGTGTAACATTATGTGTAAATTCTAAATCGTCATTCGGAGCTTTATTAGTTTTGACTAGGTATATAAATGCATTTATATTATATATAGTGTTTAATACATTATTGATCATCATACATTTTCTATAATATAGTTAGTCAGACATAATCTAGGTATCTAAATATAATGTAAATATACATTTCATAATATTCGATGGCGCTAGTTAAGTTCGGTTGCGGTCGTTGTTGGATTTAATTGTTAAAACATGAGCTTATAACTATGATAACATTAGGGGTAGTAGGGTTGCGACGCTGGATTAACAAAAAACTAACTTGAGTTATTGAAGAATTTGTAAATCTAACTCAAACTTAATGAGTATTGGACATTATTATCGTCAAATTACTGTTTATGAGTGTGGTATGAAATGAAGGGCTCATATTGGCTTTAAGTGTGCGATGATTATTTACATTTTGATTATTATTAAAATATATATTATATATATGTAACTAAACAGATGTTAGGTTACAGAACTAGCTTAGTAACTATTTTTTTTTATTTAAGCGCAGGTATTGCTTGCCTCAAAGCCTTGAGATTTCTCTTACTCGCTCTGTGTTTGCACGTTTGAACCTCGTTGCAGGAAGAACTAAGTTCACGTATTTGTGCAGTTCATAAATTACTAAGCGTTTTCCCTGATGCAAGGAGTTCTCAAAGGAACGACCTCTCAAATTAATTGCTCGCTTTAAGCGAAACTGGCGCTCACAGTTTAATTCGGAATTGAAGTGTGATGTACTAATAATGTTATTCCAAATAAACTGTATGAGATGGAATAATAATAAATTCTTATTCAACTTTAATAAACTAACCCTTTAAGCTTTTGAGGAACGCCTGATTGACTATGTTATGTTTGAACTAGTATATTCCGGAATTCCACGGCCGTGTCTGAGAGTCTGTATGTACCTACGTCATAAACCCAAAATTTTGTTGTGATTTTCATAAATATCATGTATATAAACATTGGTATTATGTTGTTATATTTAATGACTTATGGCTTATTATTATGGGGTCATGCTGCTGATGTCGAAACTATTTTCATCCTGCAGAAGAGGGCTATTCGTGCAATCTATAATTTAAAATGTAGGGAATCTCTTAGAGATAAATTCAAGGTAATTAATATACTTACCTTTCCCTCGCAATATATTTATAAAAATATATTGTATGTATACAAAAATAGTGATAAGTTTACTAGAATAAAACATACGCACAATGTTAATACACGGAACAAACGCAGGCTGCAATTTCCCCGTACTAGACTATCTAAAGTTAGTAATTCTTTTTTGGGGAAAGGTATACTCTTCTTTAATAAAATCCCAGAGGCTCTTTTATCTCTGCCTTTCAATAAATTTAAGAAATGTTTTAAAGAAAAGCTGTGTAAAAAGGCTTACTATAAAGTCAACGATTATCTAGTTGATAAAAGGGCCTGGGACTAGTGCTAGACAGGCTACCTCTAATTAATTTGCGATATTTGTTTTAAAATAAGTGTTGTTTGATGATTTGCTATTTTAAAAGAGTACCGAGTGTTTTTTACGCCGGCTTTTTCTCTCGGCCTACACCCTCTGTCTTCTTTGCCGATGAGTAGGGATGCCTACAAATTGAAATTAAATGACGTGGAATAAGTGATACATGTATCTTATGTTCCATAATAAACATATTTTATTTTATTTTATTTTTATTTAAATTTGCTGAAATTGTTAAAGGTCCTAAAATGAAAATTCACGAAAGACACGGAGGATGCTGCGGCTTCATACTTGTTTTACTTAATCTAACTTGACTATTTGTCTCCGATTATTTCTCAAATTACAGGAAACGAAGTTATATGAAGGCTTTATATATTATGAACCTACTTTATAATTACAATGTCTTTGTTAGTTAATTAAAAAAAAATTGAAACTTAGTAGTAACCCCCGTTTCGCATCATTTAAACGATAGAAAGAAGGTGTATTATTTGGTCTGATAATTTTTTTAACTTATAGATAACAAAATATCCTAATTTTTTTTTACTCAAAGAATTTTTTTTACAAATGAAATAAATGTAATAGACATTTATATACACAATCTCCATTTGCGGTTTTCTATGCGAATAAAATCATTCAGAACTTATTCGAAGGATAAAGATTTCGCATCCAAGTTTCGCCCGACTTTCTCATACCAAATCTAGGGAATGAGAAACGTAATAAAACGGACGGCCGTTGGAGGTATAAAAAGGGTAATTACCAATGTAATTAACGCCATTCCAACTTCGAGAGGGTAACGAGGCATGTAAAGCGACCCTTATGAATAAAACAGGACCGTGTGAGCGTGGCATTATAGTGATACTATTGAAAACACTGCCATTTTTTTAGTAGTTGTAATTCCACTGTAACATTATTTGTCTTTTTATAAACAACAAGGTGCATAAGTCCAAGCTTGTTGCTTTTTTCCTTAACTTCCTTGTGACAGTGACGTTTTTGTATGCTGTAGTTCTCTCAATATCCGTATCTTTGATGTCACAACCTTTGGATCGCGCAAAACAAAACCTTATTAGTGGGGTCAGAATCGCTAATGGAAGTTATAGAGTACGGGCCCTGAAGGCAACAAACTCCGCCTTTTAAGAATATAGATAAAACGAACATATAAATAAAGTTATTGTGGTTTATAAATGTCAAGTGGTTCTGCTATTCTTGCCCCTAAGATCGTGTGTTCGAACTGTACACCCAAGGGAATTAACGAATTTCTTTGAAAGTATTTTGGATATTCAAAATAAGACAGAATTTCCACGAATAACGAAATAGTTTTATTTAAATAGTTTAATGTGATATAGAATATATACTTGTTATATTTATATTATAAGTTCCTGTATACGAGTATAAGTGTGTTATAAATATGAGCAACGAAGTAAAAATAAATGTCACTAATTTAACATTAAAATTACCCACGGC